TCCCCCAGCCTGGGGGGGCTCCGGGGAACCCAACAGCCATTACTTGCCTTCCTTCAGCTCCTTGTTTAAGACTTCACGGGAGAAGGGGGTGAAAAAGGCAAGTCCCCGTTTGATCTTCAGCCGCTGCCGCCGTAACGCTCCTCCACTTTGAAGTGCTTCTCTGCTGCAAACACAACCCTTGTAACCCAGCTGTCTCCCTCTTTGATAATGCCACACAGCTGAGAATTATTTTTTTTAGGACACCATTCAGGCCATTAACGCTTGAAGCGACACATCTGCTTGAATCACCGAAGTTTTTAGGGGACGCGCAGTGCTTTTTAGACGTGAAGGATCTGTCATGCTCTTATTTATAATGCAGCCCCATACACAAAGCTTTGTCAGTGTTATTTCCCTCATCATTCTGTGGCGCCTGTTTGTTGGGCTTTTTTTTTTTTTTAAACCTCTGCACGGAGTTTGCTCTGTTTTCAATAATATTCAAACACCCCCATGAAACAACTGCCTCCCCCACCTGCGCTCCCATGCTCCATGATGGCAAAGGGAAAAGCTGCTTTCTTACGCCCGCTTAAGTGCCACTGTTCAGCGAGTGGGAAATGATCAACAAGTACTCTCCTTCTCCAAGCAACCATTTGTCCACGTGCAAAGAGATTACAAACACCGAATTACCAAAGGAGATGCAGGTAAGGAATTGTTGCCCTGCTCCCTTCCCAGGGCAGGCGGCGGGAAGATGGACAGCGTCACCCTTTTTTCCTGTGCGGCAGAGGTCAGGTTTATAGTTCCAGCCCTGGCTTACTCATTTATTAAAAGCAGCTTCTCTGCAAAATAACGTATTAGCAAAAAAGTCTTCCTTTAGAAGTTTCCCTTTAACGCAAAGGATAAAATGAACCTTGTTATGGAGGCAGAAGTTTATTTCTGTGAGATCTACTCTACAAAACTCTACAGCCACGCAATCGTTTGTGCTCTAGCCTGCAGAAAATTCAGAGGATCTCCATCTTCCAGGAAAAAAAAACTTGAAAAACACAAACCGCTTAGATTTAAAAATTCAAGTTCTTCAGCTTTTAACCTTCAAACCCATAAGGCAACAGAAGCAAGTCAAAGACCTAAGTGCAAGGCAGCTGGCACATGTTTCCCCCACCCTATTTCACCTCTTGGGTGGAAAAACTTACGGGTGGCTGATCTCATGGGGTATCCTGCCTGTCCCACAAAATCACATTTGTTTTCTGTCTTCAGAGAGACTAAAGCCAGACTACAGCCAGACTACAGTTAAATATGGAAAATTCTCATTTAACATCCTTTGCTATAAGGCACAATCCAGAAGAACCTCCAACAAGGCCTTGATTTCAAGCCATTGAAAGTTCTGCATTTTCAATAACAATTATTAAAATTAAAGAAGGAAATTCTCACTCTTGAAAATGACCAAAAAGCAGCATGTCAGAGACCAAGTCTTCTTGCATTACTTTCTAATACAGCAGATAGGAAATATAAACAAGCCATACAAATACTTTACACACACAGTAAGATTTTTTTTTTTTAAACATTCATTTGGTCAATTTACAAATAATCACTCTAGGCAGATAGTTAAAAATATCATACAACGACATGAGTACAACCTCCATCTTATCCCTCAACTTTCTTATTAAAATGTAGAAATTCTCCTTGGCACAGTAAAAATACATATATATGTATGTGTGTATATATATATATACACACTGTCCATTTTGTCTCTCTATTCCAAATATTAACAAAAACATTTTAAATGCATTGTTCTGGTTAGCATGAAATGACATTACAATTTATGAATTGAATAGTAATGGACAAATCCCTTTTCTCTAGAAGGGCTGATAAAAGTATAAATCTACATCAAAAATAAAAATCAGTTGCTTTTAAGAACAAGATATCTGTTAAAAAAAAAAAGAACTCAAAGTTGTGCTGTTTCCATCAACACAGATGTCTTAAGATTTGTTTATTATAGAGATTTAAAAGCAAATTGAAAGCCTTTTCTCAGTTCCATGAATTTATTTTAAAATTATTTAAAATTCATTAAAGTTCTGAAAATCAAGTTCATGCACAAAGGGTAAACAGCAGCTTTCAACGCCATAGAAAACAAAGCAGTGGAAAAAATACTGGTTTTGAGACATTCAGAAAGCAACTTGGATGCTTAAAAAAAGACTTCTAAAACCAGAGCTAAATTAAGGTAACAAAAGGTGGCACAAAAACTGTATTTACCTCAGTCTTCAATATGAAACAAGAAAATCAGACACGCATATCTCTACTTTTTCCATTATTAGATAGCCTGTGTACCTGCAGTTGTTGATCTGCACCCACTTGCAACCAGATCCATTTTGCAGTTAAACATGCAGACTAGGAACTGGTTTTAAGGCAGTCAGTTAAACACTCTCTTCACTGGAGTCAAAAATGTCACCGAGTCGGAAAGCCTTCTTCTGTTGCCTGGCTGTTGAATTGTCAGAACTAAGGTGCTTCCCTTTCCTTTTTTCTAACTTTTCTTCAAGTTCTGGAAGTTTCTTTTCAAAAAGATAATCAATAATTTCTTTGAAAAAAGAAAAAAAAAAAGCAGTCTTAATTGGATCTGCAGGGGAGCTGGATGCCTAGGGGAAACAGGATCTCACAGACAGAAATTATTTTGTTAGTGTTAAATGTAAGAAAAATCTCACTATTCCATAGTAATTGCAGCGGCTGCAGGGTAGATCAGACACATACATACATGCAAAGATAAACTAAAAAGGCACAGTCATTAAACTTTTAAAGCCAAGGTACTAAAGAGAAGAGGTTGACAAGCACTGCATGAAGATGCCATTGAAAGTAAACTGTTATTAAATAAATTTTAAAAAAAGGCATTTAGTAAAAGAAGTATAAAGCCTGAGATTTTAGCCAATTTACTTAGGGGAAAGCTAATTAAGAAAGAATTGAACTATAATACATATTGTCTTAGATTCAAGCAAAAAACTTAAGGAGTATATATACAAACACCGGAGATACTGACCAGAAAAGGTCTTTTTTTGCCAAAAAGGGACACAGGAGACTTTTAGCTTATAAAATTTTGCTTGAACATAGGCTTTAGGGACATCTCTGAAAAGAGAAGAGTTCAAAGAATTAGTGGTGCAAGGAACTATTACAAAGTTTAGCTGTTACTGAGTTATCCGTTCATGAGAGTGACGCCAGTCAAACAGTATCTTAGCTTTAGGTAGAAAGGATGGATTTCAAACCCTAATCAAAACAGTTTTTCAAGACAGAAGTTCCCCTTGAAGGTAAGAACCTAAACCATGCCATTATACATATGTATTATATGTTTAGTGAAAAGTAGTAAATAAAAGTAAATGAAAAAACGGTAAATGAAACTGAAAGTATGTGGAAAAGGAAAAAAGCACTATAGAGAAAGTATAGCATTCACAGTATTGGTAATTTCATATTCAACACAGTTTGTTTGGAAGAAGACTATGATATTGTATTACACATTCCTATAACTATCCCTTTTTCCTGTGTTAGTTAATACCTGGAAAAGTCTTTTATCAAAGACTTCAGCACAGACTACACAACACAGTTTTAGTACACAGAGTGCGCTGGGAATACAATAAGGTTTGCCTGAGGCGGTTAAAATTAAGTTTCAGAGCTTATAGGCATGGTTTATTGCTCAGTACTATGCAAAGATATACAACTGTACGTTACCAAACTAAATGACATTTTCTATAGTTGCAGAGGCCTAAGAACTTTGATTCTTTTGTGGAATTTTTAAGAGTGCCTGCTTCAACTATCCTTTGTATCCATACAAAAAGGGGAAAAAAGTTTACCCAATAGTGTTACTGAGTTCTTCCCAGTTTACTTCATTAGCATCCTCCACTTTCATTTCATACAATCTGTGAACGTAATACAGAAAAGCGGTTGCAAAACCTGTATGAAACTGCAGGCGTGCCGTTCTCACCCTGCAAGCTTTTATAAACACAACTCAGAACAGTAAGAGATACAAAAACATTCCAGTAACTGAACTATACCTTTTAATAAGATTGATCTTGGCCTGTAATCCTTTGGTCCCCCTATATAACTGCTGCCCTTTGGTCATCTTGTTTGTTAAAATTGTAGTCCTTTGAAAACACAAAAAAGGTTTCTATCATTTCAAGAAATTCTAAGCTTCAAAAAAGAAGTGTCTTCAGGATGCTACTGCTGCCACAGAGAAGCAGAAATCAGGCTTCACTATCACAGCAAGAAGAAAACTTACCACAGCTAGCAGAGTTATTTGTCTCAAGACACATTTGCAACACCCGTTCTGTAGCCTACAACCTATTTATTACCTATCAATCATCGTGGTACAACGTTTTGCAGAATGGAGTTAAATACTCCCCAGAACACATTTTACTATCTCAGTTTAGTATAAAACCTTACCATTTCTGTTTACATTGTCTCCAATATCGAGTTCCCACTTTAGCTTCAATCTCAGTCCATGGTAATTTCTGGTACAGTTTCTCAGAGTCAATCAAGATCTCTCTATGTGACTTTTCCGATGATGAAAGAGAATTTGCATTTTCCGTTTCCATTCTTTTCCTAATCACTTCCTCCACTGCACGCCTTAACTTCTGGGTCTCCTCCTTTGACCAAGGGCCATAATTAATAGCTAAAATAGAAAAATAAGGTTAAGGCATAATTTATCATAAATGATTAGGGAAAAAAGGCCAAAGAGCAAATGCTTCACTTTGCATTATTCTTATTTACAGGACCAGCTTCTTAACACACTTCCCAGAAACTCTTCTGCGTACCAGGTTTGAGAGAGGAGTTCAGCCTAGTCACTAAAGAATAGCACTGATCCCTAGTTTCTATCTTTTAAAACCCAGTTGCCAAATTCCTCCCGCCCTCCCCCTGAAAGCATCTATTGACACGCCAGTTCCTTTTAATGAAGAGTTACATTTGTTCCACTTCTTTTCCCTTTTCTGTCAGAGGCTGTTCTTATCCCTTCTGTATGAAAATGCAATCAGTGGTCTGGAAAAAAGAACCACCAGCACAAATTAATTTTAAAAAAATCCACTCTAGGGATTGTTTCCTAAAGTTTAGGGCACATACAACATACAGTTAAAATAACTTCTCAAATTGAAATACGCAGAATGAATTGTTTTCCTTAAAATTACATACCCGATTTGATTTCAGAGTATTTCATAGCAACTGAGAGGTTAGAACGGGACATCATCTCAGAAATCTTCTTCCAATCATTGCCATGCAGAGCATGGTACTTCTTTAATTTTTCTTTTTCTTCCTTAGTATACCTAGTTGAGGAAACAGGCACAGCTTCAGCTGCAAATTCAAACCATTCCAATATCTTAAAAGAGCTGTAATCTTTACAGGCGTTTCAATGTTACTCATCGCTGCCATTTCAAGTCACGTGTTAGAACAGAGGACTTGATAAGGGCTAGTCAGAAAAATGAACCGTCAATTAAATCATAGTAACTGGCACAAATAGGAGAGATTATCTTCGTTTATATCCATTTTTAATGTACAAATAAACACCAGAGACTGGTATTAGCGTTCAGAAACTCTTTCAAATTACTCGCTTACCTCCCTTTGTAATTATTTGGGTCAAACATCTTCCTTGCTCGATAATAGATCAGCCTCCAGGGTCGTGGTATGCCCTCAGCTAGAAGGTAAACGATTCATTTCTAAGAAACATTTCTCACACTGGTGAGGCCACTTCAAAAAAAGCCAAAACAAAAAAAAACCAAACAACATACGTTTTCATGACCGTGTTGAAGATTATCTTAAGTTTTACTGAATCTTTCTATGTTTGGTTGTGAAATAATCAATGATAAGAACATCTTGATTTCAAGAAGTTAGCCTCTATGTTAGCATTATGGATGGGCTGCTGTGCTATTTGTTATCCGAGGCTGTGTTTGTTTGAAGTCCCTATTCTTTGGACCATTTAGCCTTAGTCCTTATTCTCTGGACCGTAACCAGAGCCCCTAGGTTCTATTGTATATAGGATGAGTTACTTGACAACCTGACAAGGTAGTCGTATATCTGGCCAACTTGGCAACAAAACTTACTTTTAAGGTGTCCTGAAGTGAACTGCCTTCATTATAATACTGAAAAACACACCCACAGGTCAAGAAGATCCTTGCCCAGGTGAAGACCCTTCCCCTGCGCAAGCGCAGTAACAGAAGAAAATGACACAGCAGATACTATAATTATATGCAAATCACTAACCCATCATTGTAACTGGGAGTGTACTACCTTGTAATTCTTGTGTATAAATGTAACGGTGATCTCGGCATAGGTGTGCTTGATTTGTGGAAATTCCACCTTGCACCTGGCGCCGCACTAAAGACTGCCTGCTTTCTAAAACTCCAAATTGAGTCTTAGAGAGTTCAGCATCTGCCGACTTACGGTAACACCTGTGCTGCCAGTGATAGATTCTCTCCAGTCAAGAGAACATACTCTGCAACACTTCAGTAACTGCAAAGGAAATAGTCTGAACAGAATCTCCCGAGGAGTTTCAAAGATATCATTGTTATGACTGTGGTAAGATTGTGAATGCCGACAGCTGGTAAATAATTGTGTATGTGTCTGCATTAGGTGTGGGTGAATAACGAAAACTGAGCTTTTGAACTCTCAAGCACAAACCTGTTACTCACTACCTACAAATTGTATGGACTGGCTGTAAATTTTGATAACATCTGGATCAAATCTAAGTAACATACTGAATACTCCCATCAACAGAGACGAGACAGCCACCAATCAGGAGGCTGATGAGATACTGTGCTTCTGCTTATACACTAGTTCAGTGGGGAAAACCAGGGACTGGGGGCGTCCAGCAAAACACAAAGTGAAGATTTTGGCTGAAAGATCCTTGAAGCGGGGGAAGATCCGCAGAGACCAACACTCGGGAACACATAACGGTCTTGGTCAGCAATGCCCAGGTGCAAGCAACTCGCATAACACTGACGTGACTTTCTGCCCAATTTTCCCAGACCAGGAGCAATCTCCCAGATGGGAAGGGAAGTCAACACCAGGCAAACGTGGCGATGCAGAGGGAATGATCGTGTGTGTGAAATAATCAAGGAGGAACAAATCTGTAGGCTCATTGATCCTTAAATAAATGCTAGTATCCAAATCCATTACAGGTTGTCATTTACTCTGTCTTGCCTATGCTAACGATACAGAACAAACACAGAAAGGAAAGCCACTGAGAAAGTGCACTGAGTAGATTCATCAGAGATGTTACAAAATGAGCATGTTTGCCATATAAAGCGTGAATGTTTTCTAACCCAAGGAAGCCTAACAAAATGAGGAAAGAGAAAGAGAAGAGATGCTCCTCCTGCAAACAGAATCTTAGCCATAAGAATTTCATTTGTTTTCCTCACATCTTGGAAAACTACTATCCTGGTTTTGGCTGGGATAGAGTTGATTTTCTTCCTAGTAGCTGGTACAGTGCTGTGGTTTGGATTTAGGATGAGAACAATGTTGATAACACACCGATGTTTTAGTTGTTGCTGAGCAGTGCTTACACTAGTCAAGGACTTTTCAGCTTCCCATGCTCTCCCGACTGAGAAGGCTGGAGGTGCACAAGGAGCTGGGAGGGGGCACAGCAGGGACAGCTGACCCCAACTGGCCAGAGGGACATTCCATACCATGGGACGTCATGCTCAGTACACAAACTGGGGAAAGCTGGCCGGGGGGGCCGCTGCTGGGGGACTGGCTGGGCCTCGGTCGGCGGGTGGTGAGCAACTGCACTGTGCATCACTTGCTTTGTATATTATTTTATTATTATTACTATTTTATTTCTATTATTAAACTGTTCTTATCTCAACCCACGAGTTTTCTCCCTTTTCCGCTTCCGATTCTCTCCCCCATCCCACTGGGGCGGGGGGAACTGAGCGAGCGGCTGGGTGGTGCTCAGTTGCCGACTGAGGTTAAACCATGACAGCTACCTACTTTGGGTAATGACCTAATTTCTTTCAGTTTCTGCCATCACTCAGCCCTAAACCTGCCACCTATTTATGTGCTCTAAGAACAGCTGACAATTTCAGAAGGACTTAATCACACCTCCCATTAATAAATCACTATGCTTAATTAAAGCCTAACAAATAATGCACCTTAAGCCATAAAGCCCAAATGCAAGTTTGGAAGTCTGTAAGTGCTGCTGGTCATGACGATATTTTAATCTCTAAACTCTTCATACCCAAGAAAAGATAGTAAGAATAGTATACTGTACAGATTATCAACTGCGTACTCTCAGCAGCATACTCCTTTTCGGCCAAATTTAGCGACATTAGTGCTTTTCAATAAAAAATTGTTTTAGAAAATACATCATGATATCACCAGGTTGTGGAACGTAACATTCAGCTATTTGAAAAAGAACTTAAATACTTACAAAGTTTTTCACAAAAAAGATGTTCTGCTTTTAGGCGACTGATAGTTTCCTTATCTTCTGGATACCTCGAGGTAAACAGGAGTTTTTCAGCACTGTCTATTCCAGTAATCAGTAAGAACTCTTCAACATTCTTCCGGATTTGATTATTTTCCTTCTGGGAAAATCTGCCAAACTTGACAGCAATACCTAAAATACACAGAAAGTTTTATTTTTAAAAAAAAAACAAACCTCAAATACCATCTCTTGTGCATTACATTTCAGGTTTTAGCAAAGGTATAACAAAAGATCAACAAATTCAAAAAGTGAAAAGAGAAAACTGAAAAGAGACAAAACAAGAGCTGGGATCAGGTAATTTACACGTACGCTTTGGACTGTAATTTGACAATGAGGAAGCAGATGCTACAAAGTACATAAACAGAAAATAGGTCCATGGGAACAAAGGGAACCAGACTCCATGGATGTGACAGACATGATTACAAAACCAAACTATTTTCTCTCTGTCAAAACATTAGCACAGCTGCACAGTCCTTCCTCTCTGCAACAACATTTTGAGAGCTCACCTTGTTTTTTAAACTGTTTAAACCTCGCTAAGTCTCTTCCAGCCATCTTCCTGATTGAACTGTCCGATATATTCCTCACATGAGGAATAAACTCTTCCAATTCTTGTTTTGCAGTATCCAAATCCACGATTAAACACATGGTAGAGTCCAGGCACTCTTCATCATCCAGACTAAGCTCATCAGAGGCTGCCATTTCAGTAAAGGAACTATTCTGGTCCTTCTTTCTATTTGATGCCGAGGGTTCCGGTGTCCTGATATAAAAAAAAAGAGTAAAATAAAATACACCACTAGAGCTCCAAAACAAAGATTTTGTTAGTATCTCTACCATTAAAAGAATCAACATGTTAATTAATTAAAGAACAAGTAATACTTCACGCATCCACCCCCTTGTATTTCCAACCTTTTAACACAGACATGATTTATTATCAAATTTCTATACTTACAATATTCAAAGAGCTTGCTGAAGGTTTGAAAATCTGCACTTTTCCCACAAAACTCTCACACGTGGACATACAGAAGAAATAGTGTCTCTTGCTACCACTGACAACACAGAACTTTTCCATCTGTCTCTTACTAGTGCTCTTATTGTGGGTTCTAGATACTGTAAAAGCACCAAGAGCTACTTACATGAGCATTGTTCGCACAGAACATGAAATTCTGTAGTTGACCTTACTAGTTGCTTGGTAGAAATGCTTATGCTCACTACAAAAAACAAATTTAACAAATGAAATCCCTTTCTTCCCCCTTTTCTTACTAAACATGAATCGCTTACACATAAATTATTTCTATACCTACAGTTTTTAAATAGAAGAAAATATTCTATGTTGAAGGCAATGGTAGTGGATTCCTACAAATCTTCATTGTATCTTCACAAGATAACTAAGCTCTTAAAGTAGATCTCTACATCTTAACATACTGTAAAGGTTTTTGAAGTTGCTTTTAAAAACACATACAAAACAGACTGAAGAAAAATCTGGGACCCAAATAATGTGATAGAAACATGATGGGGGGAAGAGAAAAAAAAAACACAAAACCTAAACTTACATTACATCAGATTCTGAAGAGCTTTCTTCCATGACAAAAGCGCTGCTTTTTTTTGCCTTTCTAGCACGCACCGGCGTTTTTCGAGGAGATGGATCAGCTGCTTTAGTCGGCTTAGAAAAATTAGCAGGTACATCCGTCGAATCTTCACTCACGGCAGGGGAAGCATCACGGTCACCATCTTCGTGCCATTGCTGGGGCGTTGCCGCACCACCCTCTTCTGTAGGTAACGGCAAGACTGTGTCTTCCCTTTGCCTGTTTTGCTCGGGAGATGACAACAGTGACTGGCCAACGGCTACATCTGTGTCTTCCTGCATGTCTTGGGTACTACTGCCTCTTTTCTTCTTCCTCTTCTTTTTTGATCTTTTATTGTCATTTTTATCGTATGTTTCTGCGGTAGGCAGCTCGTGCACCTCACCCTCTTCAGGCAATTTATCTTTTCTTTTCTTCTTAACAGATTGTTTTAAATAAACGTAGTCAGCATTGATCTCCTGACAACTATCAGCGCTGTGCAGATTTACTGTGACACAAGTTACCTCACTTTGCTCATCTGCGCTGTCGTTACGCTTCCGCTTCTTTTTTTTCTTTTTCTTTTTGTTTTGGGAAGCATCCACACCAGTTTCATTACTAATTTCATGTTCCAGTCCTACACAAGAATTATCTAATGAAGACTGTTGCTTCTCCCGCTTGTTTTTGTGTTTTTTCTTCTTCTTACAGCCTTCACCACTCTGTGCTGCTTGATCTTCAAACAGCAGTGGAGAAGCATGGCTAAGCTCTGCATTTTGTATACTTTCTCGTTCATCATTTTCATGTTTCTTATTGTGTTCTTTGTGTTTTTTCTTACTCTTCTTCTTGAAAAAATCCTGAACTTGAAAATCATCTGCACTTGCTTTTTCTGTCATATTTTTTCTTACCTTAAATAGAAAACATAGATTATAGCACTCGAGTAAAACTTATGTACCATTACACACTGTTACACAGTAAAAAAAAAAAAAAATTTAAGAAAACCCAAAACATAAAAATACTACGGAACTACTCAATATTTTCTTAGAAACACAGAATAAAGATACTTACTCTTCAATCCAGCTAATCTTGGAAAGTGACTATGAGAAAGCAACACCTTCTTCATCAAACAGATGTGCATCACACAGGCTGTATTCAGCCTTACAACTGCCCTCCTATAACAAACATACACTTTAATAACTATTAGCTTTAAGTTGATTTTGAATAACTAAGCAATGACAGACTGCTATATTCAACTCTGCTTTCAGCACTGAAACAGCAACAAGCTAAAAGTAATAAAGAAACATTAAACCAGTCAGCGCTAAAACCGAGTTCTCCGATTAGAAGCTTCTGACTGGCTTTGCCCGCGTTCAAACAGGCCCAAGCCCAGCCAAGACCCACCAGCTCCACCGGACTCTGTAACCAGAAAAAAATCTATTCCTGAAAACCACAGAGTTACACAGAGCAGGCAGGAAGCGTTTTTTAAGCACCTTTTCTACGGCCGGCACGTAAAAAAAAACCCACAGAACAACATCCCGTCACCTCTGAAACACAAGACCTGGAATTTCACATCCCCGACAGAGTTTCCAGCGCTGACCGGCACCAGACGCGACCTCCCCGCCGCCGGGAAGCGGCCGCTGCAGCCCCG